GTACTTATGTTCAAGTGTATCTGCAGTCTCTAGTTTCTGATGTAGTGGTTACTTGGTTGAGGGGATGTAAGTAGGGGAATAACAAAAAGGAATGAATCCCCTTTATCTTCTAATAGACTATCCTCCTGAAGATAAAGTTTAGCAAAGAAACACTTCATCTCTACAAAGGTAACAATAGTAGATACATAGAATTTTTGAGTGGGAGGATGATAACATCTGTATCATTTTTGTATAGATGAGTACCCTAGAAACACATATTCGATGGACTTCAATTCAATTTTTCCTCGTTGAGATTGATATATGTGAACATAGGTAACATAATCAAGGACTTGAGGAATAAGGTTATTCCTTTTTCAAACTTCCAAAAAAAAAAGAGCTAGAACTCCCATGGGACTACAAAAGTATAGTACCCGAGGTGATAACTCGTCGATAAGATAGGTTGCGGTCAAAACAACTTCCTTCTAGTAGTCCTTGGACATATGGTTTTGGAACAAGAAAGCATAGAAAATAGTAAGCAAATGATTGTTTTTCTGTCTACAACTTCATTTTGTTATGGAGTGTAAAAACAAGAAGAGTCATAAATAATATGTTCGCTTCCTAAAATTGAGGAGATTGTTTGATTAAAGTAGTTACAAGCATTATTAATTCCAAAATATTTGATTTTTACTCCAAACTGGGTTTTAATCATGTTGCGGAAGTTGGTAATAATAAGACTCATCTAAAATTTTGGTTTTTAGCAAGAAAAGTCAGCTTACTTTAGTGCAATCATCAATAAAAGAAACAAATAATCGGACTCTAAAAATATCATAAATATCATAGGGTCCCCAAATATCATTGTGAACCAAATTGAAAGGAAAATTGTTTCTTTTATCACTAGGAAGAAAAATTACATGTTTTTGTTTTGCCAATTCACGTATACCATAGTATAAATTTCCATTATTGGAATCCAAAAACAAAGAGAGAAGCATAACTTTAAGGGTGGAGAATGAGGGGTGACCTAATCTTCAGTGATAAAGTCATATCTTATCAAGGGTGCTGGTAGAATTAGCAGGGCATGGAGCCTCAAGTGCATCGTAGGAAGTATAACTCATTCCGAGCCTGAACACGTTAAATTGTCCTCTCCAAGTTATTGATACTAGATTTATGCATAATTTAGGAACATGTAATACATCAATAACTATAAAGTGAGGGCTAAGCTTTATGGTTTCAGCTCATAACCACATGGTTAGTGAACCATACGTAGTAATGATTTTCCTATTGCTGGAGCAAAAGGCATAGGTATTAAAAAATTAAGCAGAGTTAGTTATATGAACTGTGGCTCATGATAATACAAAAGGCCTATCTGAGGCATTTAAACCATGAGATACAGAAAAATAACCTAATAGCCCAAGTAACTGGTCCCTTTAGGTTTTTCAAGACATTCAAGTCCAGATCTCAGGTGTTCGATTCTGCCTCGAAATCACTACAGTCTGTAGTTTTTTCTTTTCCTTGTGCTATATGGGTCTGTCACTAATTCTTCTTGTATCCCCAATCCTTACAAGACGCTTGAGTCTCTCCATGAAGTTTCCAACACATCTCTTTGGTATTCCGAGATTTCTTATAGAAGATACATCAAATATTGTCCGCGTTCTGCCCGCCAGTGGCTACGATCTCATTGTGAATTCACTCCTTCCCTTGTTGGCATGGTTTGGAGCATTTAATTGTCATAGCAGAACTGTCAGTACTGCGGGACTCTAGCATAACTCCTCTTCTACTTTCTTCTGCACTAACAAGAGATAATACCTCATTCAAGGATGAAATCTCTTCTTTTTCCCAGAAGTAAAATTCTCACTTGATCATACTCTTAATTGACTCTAGCCATGAATAGATACACCCTAACTTTTTCAACTATTCCTTCAAAGTTGTTGCATCTATGCTACACCTCATAGTGAGACTGCGATACTGATCAAGCTCTTGTCACCAGTTCTTCAAAAGGTTGGAATAATCTGGAACTGTTTTATTCCCTTATTTGGTTGTCCAAGTTTTGACAGTCAGGACATATAACTGGGTTGCATCCTTCATTTTGGAATAAGTTCCCTGATTTAGTCCCAAAACCCCCCTTTGCAGTTGATATTGTATTGTTTGTCTCTGGTGCCATTAAATACCAGAGTCAAGCCATTATTGTTGAATCTCCTTCATCTCATGAATCAAAATTTGGGTCTCCCAGTTTTGGTCCGATATTTAGAAGGTGGCTGATTTTCCTTTTCCTTTTAGGATGGTCCAAATCAGTTGTGATCAATTCAAATAGTTCTTACCATTTAAATGATAGGCAATGGACTAAATGAAATTTGTTATTGCTTTCTGCTGAATTTCCTATGTGGGAACTTGTGTAAGTAATTTGGGAAGTGACCTCCCACATTGTTTAAAACTTTTTGAGCAATTAAGGTCAATTAAACAAGTTAAAGAAATGAGCTTACTGGCTAGACAGGTTCGGCTGTGTGGCAGAGACTTGCAGGACAACAGGCATGGCTTGAAGCTGTGGCTGGTGGCTGCATGCAGGAAGTGCAGGTGTGGCTAGGCTGGACAAATTCTGGCCGTGCACGGTTAAGGTTGTACGACCGCAAGGAGCAATGGCTAAAGCTGTGCGCTGTAGGGGATGGCAGTCGAGAATGGGCTATGTGTGGACAGAGGCTGGTAGGCACGACTAGGACACTGTTAAGGGGCTGGAGCTTGCGATGTAGGCTGGTCTCCGTGGCTGGTAGCCAGTCTGTTGTGGCCTGCGGCTGGGGTTGTGGTGGTCAGGAATGAAGGTTGACCCCCCTAACTCGGTTTTTTTCTTATTTCAGCAATCAAGGCAGACTGGGTTTTGTGAAAGAGAACTATGATTTTTTCCTACAATTGTAATACCATGTTGAAGAATAGAATATTTTGTTTTTTTTAATTGAATTAGAGGGCCATGTATATACACAATCTTAGGACAATAAAAGGAAACATACAATTAATTACATTTTCTGACATTTTACTAATATACAATTTACCATGATTATACAAAGATACACTTTTCCCTACATAATTTATACTCCAACAGTATTCATTATTAGGAGCTAGATGTGCAACGCCATTGATCCATGATGAACAAAATCTTTCCCATGCCTAGCAGAAATTGCACACTTATGCAGTGATTTGAAACACCAATTCAGATTGATGTATTCCATCCTAGAACTAATCCAAGTTGTACTGGAAAATTATTTTAATGCTAGTATCAGAACAGTTCTATAAAGTACAGGCAAAATCGCATATGTACTCGAATTGAAAAGAGGAAATAATTAATATCATCTTACCTACTGCTTTCTGTGGAAAGGTAGACACCACAATAAATGTTATGACAGTTCGACCTTGCAACCACAAAGGAAATCGCATGGTTTCATGAACAACCCTCACCTGTATTTAGTGACATTAGCTTCAAAAACTTCGGTAATGAGTCTTGTTAAATAATTCTCATAATGATGCTTATAACTGTATAAAAAAAAATAAAGGTAGAGACTTTCGGTCAGAAGTAAAAAATTGGAGGAAAAACTCTCTACTCCTAGGAGTTTGGAGTAAAGACACAGGGATGAACATATTTTACATGGAATAAGCACTAAGTACAAATTCAAAAACAACACTAACCAATCGATCTTTTAGAAAGTGAAGAAACTCCATATATGGCGAATGTCAAATCAAGCAGTGGCAAACAATTTTATATGGCATGCAACGAATGAAAAACCTTCACATATCATGTAAGAAAAATAAGAATAGCATTACAATGCAGAAAAACCAAAGAAGCAACAAGGTAGGCTCTAGAAATATCCCTTTCCAGCTAGGAACCTAGGATTCAGTTAATGTACGAAGATGCTAAGCAGTAGGAAGTAAAGCACCGAAAGTTAGATTCCTCTTATTTCAATTACTGCAATTTAGTACCATCCAGAATTTACAATTTCAAGAACAAACCATCTGGAGTAAACCTGCAGCATGAACCTAGTCCATAAAACTTTTGGATAGCTCTAACAAACTTATAGAGAATTTAGAAAGATACTAACCAACAAAAAGAGATTGCAACTATATAGGTTGAAGAGGAGCCGGGGAGAGTTGAAAGAAACTAAAAGCTATCTTTAGGTCTAGAGTGTATAACAAGTTTCTCAACATAGAGAGAGAGAGACACACACACACATAACTTCATTGAGATGACACCATTGAGGTGCTGCCTGTATATGTAGGAGACAAGTTTATATTAAATCACTAATGATTACTCAAGCTGCGTGACAGAAGTTCAGCTATTTAGAATGGTAGGTAATTCAGATGTTAGGTTT